ATTTCTTCTCTACGTAACTGGCATAATGAGAACTTCATAATTTATATTTTTCAAGATCTGTTTGACATAACTGGAAATTAAATAGCGATAAATCCATTTGAAAATTCATTTGCACATACATTACGATCCAGATCAGATATAATTTCCTCTGCAATTTGAAGTTCATTCATATACAAATGCCAGTGAAAAATACCAAATCGTAAAACCATTTTAGATAAATGGCGAACGGTTGATTTTTTTCAAATAAACTTTGATACCCTTAAGAAAAACTGAAAGTTACAACACCTTGCTTCAGTGCCGAAAATTCGGAGAATTCAAGAAGATATAGCATTGTTGTGTTGCACGCCGATTTCCCCCAAAAACGTTTGAAGTGGAGCACATGAGAAAATTTACTATAAATTTATATAAAATTCACTGCAGCTACAATATGTACAATGAACTGCCGAATTCCGTTCACATTTTCCCAACAATTCCAGTTGAAATATTATGTAATGATATTTCTTTTTGTTTTTCTTTCTTTTAATTTCTAGTTTTACCACATATTTGGAAAAAAGAGACGAGTCTGTTTCGCCAATTTATATTTGTCTTGAGTAAGCCATGTAAAAATCTTAGTCTTTCTCTTCTTTGCGCAGAGAGAGCGAAAAGTTTCTCATGAATTTCAATGTCTGATATGATGCTACGAACAAACGTAGCCATTTGAGCGGTGGATATTATGTCTGTTGATTCATCAAGTATCTAACAGGTAAAAAAATTATAAATAAATAAATAAATATAAAAAATTATAAATAAATAAATTATAAATAAATAAATAAAATAAATAAATAAAAAAATTATAAATAAATAAATTCATTAGAGATTTCAGAAATTTTCATCCGCATGTGAAATGGAATTTCAGCAATTTGAGCATATATTGTCATATAATCTTGTTGATCTTGAGACTTATGGCTTCAAATTTAATTACATTACTTTTGCAGCAAAGTCTGGAAGCAACATTTTTTGTTATTCGCTTTTTTTTCGAAAAATATTGAATGTTTCACTTCTACCAAAATGACGTTTCAAATTATATTCTTTTGGTATTCCCACATTTTACAAATAGCGCAAAATTTTTTCCCTGCATTTCCTGTCCAATCAGCTCAAAAAATTCTATGCTAATCTTCGATATTCGTTTTTTAGATATAGTCTAAATATTTTTTCTTTACTAATTAATAGGCAAGGCAAAAAATAAAAAATTTAAAATTGAGATTTTAAATTTTTAAATTTAAAATTTAAATTTAAATTGAGAATTGAGATTGAGATTTTATTAATTTTTTTATAAAAATCAAAAAAATTTTAAAAAATTAAAATAAAAATTAAAAAAAATTTCCACAGAAGTAGAACCATATTGAACCCAAAACTTTGAAAAATTTCTCGCCCCCTCAGAGATTTCAAAAACGTGCATCAATATTCTATGACAGTTTATTTTGTTAAATAAAAATAATTTAGAAATACCTCAGAATTACAAATTTTTTCTTTTTTTTCGCTTTTATTTATTGATGATTTTGCATCTGCAACAATAATAAATAAATAAAGCAAAATAAAGCAAATAAATAAATAAATAAAGCAAAAAATAAAAAAGAGAAGAATATTTCATATTTCATTATTCAACCACAAATGAATTTTTAAAATTATTATTATGCATATCATTTTAAACGAAATCGAGAGAAAAACAATATATATGACTAACCGTAGCTTAATAATGTTAAACTTTTCTCCAATTTATCCTTATATACATCGTCACAATCCTTTATAGCCAGTATGAAATCGTTTCTATATTTTACATCATCAAGAATATTACACAGTTTAGCGATATATTTTTGTTTGGCGACGCACTGTTCCATATCAGTAAGAGACTGCCAAGCCAACCTAAACCAAACATTCCGAAATTAATAATTTCAGTTCAATATAATTGGCTTTGAGAATTAAAAAGCATAATAATTGAATCGCTACCATTTTTGTTTTTCAATGATGTTCCAAAATGACGGTGAAGAGATATTGCAAGATCCAATAGTTGCTTGTTTATATAAAGCGTAAAACTGCAATTTTTCGGCATTTGTTGTCGATAAAAGCCCTTAAATTTCCCAAACGAAAATTGTCGAATTAAATTTAAAAAAGTAAATAATTAAAATCAAAGAAAAAAATCCGTTATAAGCTTGAATTATAAAAAAGGTTTTTGCCCTAGAAAATCAATTTAAATTGGATCATCATACCCAAACTCAAAAAAACTGGAAATATTACCATTTTTCGGGAAATGTTGAATGATATTCACTGCCGCTCGGAATTTGTCTTCAACTATATTTTCATCCATTATAATTGATTATATAATGAAATCTCGCAACTTGAGTTTATATGTTTGATAGCTGAATGGATATAACAAATAAGCTGACCTTACTAATCGAACAACAATATTTCTGAAAAATTTTTCAAAAACCCAATCAAATAAACTTTAATAATCAAAAGCTTCACAGAATTTCATTCAACATGTAGATTAAACAACACAACTAATTCGAGAAATGAATAAAATTTTTTTCATTCGATCCATGTGATTTTGAATTGGATTTTAATCTAAATTATTATCAAATATGGAAAAACAAAAATCTTTAAACTCATTTCTTGAAGATTTTTTTTACAAAAAATTTATTTTGTATATTTCATAGACAATATAAAGAATAAACAATCAAATTGGAATAATTAAGATGAATCAAAATGAAAGGTTTAAAATGGATAAAATTTTTCGCTTTAGCCCAGTTGTAAATAAAATTACTATGAAATTACGAATTTATCTTTAGTATATCCATGCTATTAATTAGTTTTCCGCAGGAAAAAAAATTACTGATAGATCATACAAATTGTGAATAACCTTTCAACAAAAATTAAATATAAATTAAGTAAAATAAAAAAAATCAGCTTTTTATTTCTGCTTCTCCCGTGACTTTTTTGAGAGATTCTAGAATAAATATTTTGTCCTCTGAAAATAAATGAAGATTAATATTAGCCAAAATGCAAGAAAAAAAGAAAAGCACTGAGGGAAACAAGATGAAAAAAAATTACGCACTAGGATTAATCGCTGCTTTCAAACACCCATATAATTTTTCTCGATTTATCCTCAATAAAGCTTTTTCGCATGAACGTATCGAGCCTCCTGATGAAAAAAACTTACTAGTTGAAACTCCTTTGAAACGTCAAATAATTGAACGAACTTGTTAGCCAAATAAAATAGAAATTATAAAAATTATAATCGTGAAAAATTATAATTAAAAGATAATTAAAATTATAATTGTAATTGAAAAATCAAAATCGTTAATTTAAGAATAAATTAAAACAATAAAATAATATTTATAAAATTATTTTCCGATTGATAAAATCTTATCGTCCGATTCAATTACTTTCACGATTTTTAAAATAAACGAAAAAAATTTCGCAAGCTTTGGCATAAATAAAGTTAAATTGTGCTATTATAAAAATAACCAATGAAAAGATTTTTCAATGTCACCAAATTTTTTGATATTCGCTGAACAAATGGAACTGCAGCAAGTAGATATTTTAAGGCATTAAAATTAATACGGACCAAAAATATTCCCGTTTCTGAGTCAAAAACCTGAAAAATTTATTTAAAAAATATCGACAAAAGAATGGTACAAACAAATTTCATAAATAAAATTAGAAGAAAATTTCGAAAGTGAAATAAATTAAATTTAAATTTATTTAAATAAATGCATAAATTAAAATTAAAAAGAAAGTTGAAAATTTAAATAAATTTAAACTTAAATAAACCGAAATTCCAGCTGAAACAAGTCTAATAATATGTCTACTAAATATTAACTACACCAAAGAGAATATCTTCAATTGGTTTTTATTATTCGATCAGAGACATTATTCATTGTTTAGGAAACAAATCTATGGGATAGAATATAGATAAAATACAGATGTGAAAGTCACAAGCAAAGGGAAAAATACTGATGAAGAGTGCATGAAACAGTGCTCTCTTGAAGAATGATCTTAGTCGCAATGATCGCAAAGATTAGCAGTTTTTCGACCAGAGTACCACATATGAGATTATGGAGCTGATTCGGTGAAATATTCAACCACGGTTTTCCAGAAGAATAAATGTTGATTTCCATGCAACCAGAAAATTAGAAATGAAGAGTTATTTGAACAAATTATAGTGATTATCATAGTTATTACTTTTATAGACAAAGCTGACTTCACAGCAGCTACACCATAATCTCCAAATAAGAGGCCAATTTGTTTATATAAACTTAGATAAATCGCGTAATCATCGAGCTGCAACTGTTCTACGCTATTATTAACAATTTCCACCAAAACATATCTAAAATTTGTTGAATAAATCAACGCAAAAACGAAAGATATAAAGAATAGACATAATATTCATTAAAAATAGATTTGTATACCTAGACTTTTGCCGCACCATTTTATAAGAAATTTATTGTTTGATATGCGTTGTACATGCTAAAATTGAGAAATAAATTATGATTGAATAGTAAATGTAAATAATAAATAATAGTAAATGATAAATGTGACAAAAATATATTAAGCAAAGCCAATGCTTAAGTCGATCTAAGTTTCAGCGTAACACAATATTTGAAAAATTTTTATCGCATGACAGAAAAACAACAAACATAAAAATTCAAAAAATATTAAAATTACGAAAAAAATAAAAAAGCTATAACAAAAAAATAAAAAAAGTTATTCATAAAAATTCATAAAAATGAAAAATAAAAAATTCAGCGACATCAGTTTCTATTAAAAAACTTAAAATCTCTTAAGTTAAAGCAAAATAAATAAACAAAATAACTATTTCTTAACATTATTTGAAATTATTATTTGAAATTATTTGAGAAAAAACTTAAGATTTGTAAAACAAAAAAAAAAAAATTTTGAATATTTCTGAAGAAAATCAAGAAATATGAATGAATAAAGAATATTTTTATCTTATTATATAATTAGAAGTAAGAACCCATATAATACCTAGGAAAAGCAACAGTGTCTTTAATATTTTTGATACCAAATAGCGTTTGCATAAAGCGTTCCATACCAAGACCAAAACCTGCAGAGGAAGGATGCCCAGCATTCCTTAATTCAACATACCAATTTAAACTACTCTTACATCCACGAGACCTTAATGCATCTGGATTTCTTTCTCTCAATGAACCACCAACTAATTCGCCAGTCGTAGGAGCCAAAAGATCGCAATTTTCAACCTGCAACAACAAAACTGTGAAACTGTTATAGGCTATATATAGCATTTCATTTCTTTTTTTCAGAAAACAAGGGAAGAAATATAGCAAAAATTGTCTAAATGTTGCTAAAAATCTATGAATAATAACAAGAAAAATAATTTAATTTCATAAGTAAAAGCAAAATATACGTATTTTCCGCATTCCGATCGACTCATATAGAAAGGTGCACGAACTGCTGGGAAATTGGTTACAAAAAGAGGTGACTTGCAATAATCGATCAGATAAAATTCATTCTTTCTGCTCAACCGAGGACCGATTAAATCACCATTTTTTCGTAATATTGCAGATGCTTCATCAAACCGCAATCGTGGAAAATTTTTGGTATTAGAAAACGAGTGGATAAGTGCAGAATTTTGATCTAGATCCTGTAAAAACCTCATAATAAAACAAATTCACTAAATAAGAAATGACATATGAAAAAATTAGCAAGAAAAAAAGAATTATCATCTATAAAGAAAACTATAAACTAACTGCTTCAAAGAAATCTTTTAATGCTTCAGCTTCTGAAGACTGCTGTTGAAATTTATACACAACAAATTTAGTTAAATCTTCGATAAAGTCACAAAGATGATCAATATCTCTGGCAAAAGCGAATTCAGCCTCCAGCATGCGAAATTCGGCCAAATGGCGCCTTGGTGTGCTGACTTCAGCTCGATACGCTGTACCAATTGTATATACTTTTGATATTCTACTGCAAAAAAAATTTTTTGTAAAAATAGAATTTTTCAACTTTTTTTTTATTAAGCTTTTTTCCAGACGGAAAAGAAAACCAAATTATCAAAATAACCTTACGATGGCTTCCAAATAAAGTTGAGAAGAAACTGGCAAATAAACAGGATTAGGACCAAAAAACTTTTTATGATTTTCGCTCTAAAAAAATTATGTAAAACAAATACAAAGAAATATTAATGAAAATTTTTAGAAACTGAAACTACTGTCGCAGAATGGTGAATGCAAAAGGGTCGAAATGAAAAGTGACACAATTTATAAATAATTATGAAGTATTAAAGGATTAATGAAAAAAGAACTGATTAATAACGCATAAACCAATAGAATTATGCACTGGCGGTTTATTGAAAAAAAATTGACACACGATATAAGCCAACGACACCAACAAAGAAGGCAAATGATAACTGACCAGGAACCAAAGTGATAATTAGTTTTTGCATTCATCATTTAGCAACATTTACCTTCATATATAAGATAAAAAAGCATACAAGCATACTTGGACTATAAAAATATCACCCGCACCTTCACAGTCATTTACTGAAAGTGATGGAGCATCTATGTGAACAAAATTTTCTTTCTGAAAAAAAAATTTCGAAATTTTATTTCGAAACTTCATCTTTACCTTTAACCCATTTATTTTTCAGTCGTTTAAGCATCATTAAAAAAGGGTTTAGATGAATAAAACTTAGAGGAATGAAAACTAAAAGGATTAATAATAAAAGAACAAAAAATTTTAAAAAACTATAACCAGCATAATACACGGTATAACAAGAGTCCATTTTATGGATAATAAAGTAGATAATAAAAATTCACCACAAAAAAATCAGCTAACTAAAAGGATCATGAGTTACCAAAATGTTATTTACTGAAACTTTTCAATATATAGTTGTGACAATATATACAACATTTTAATAATTTTGAAATTAAATGCTTCCTTTACTCGACTGAATTAAATCAAAATCTTCTTTTGGACCTCTTCTCCATTAGAATTTCAAATTACTAAAATTACTAAAAATTACTAAAAGATCACCAAAAATTTTCTAAAAAAAAAAGACTTGATCAAACTATGGGAATTTCTCATCTTTCTTCAACAAAAATCTTCGATTTTAAAATGTTGCTTATCTGACAATCACAAAAATAGATCACTATTTTTCTATTATTCAATCATATTATTCTAAAAATACCTCAAAAAACTGATGACAAAATTTGTTCAGCTCTGATCTTAATCTTAATAGAGCAATGAATGATCTAGTTTTGATGCGAAGTGGATATGATTTTCGTAAAGCACTTACTGGAACATCTTGCCTCTGAAATAAAAAACAACCTTAAAATCAATAAAATTGTAAGAAACAAACAAATAATCTTCAAATCTTTTATAAAATGACTAAAAAGATTGAGTAACTTTGAAAATCAGCCAATGAATTTAAAGGTTCCGTACTATATGATAAATAATGCAAAAAAAACAGTTTAACGAACCACAGGAGCTAAATTTTTGCCAACAACTGTACATTTTGATGCGAACAATTCCATTGTTTGTTGAGCACCTAAGCTTTTGGTCCAAACACCACAAATATCTACCGCACTTCCAACATTAATTTTTGAGCAGATTTTTTTTGGAATAACCACTTGTATTCGATCATCGCTAAGCCCATCATCAAGATGGACAAATAAAAATTTTCCAAATTTTTGCACACTTTCAGCCCATCCCTTAATGATTTGCAAAATTACAAAATTATAAAATTATAAAACTATTATTAATTATAAAATATACTTCACTTTACTGCTTTTATTGTATTGTCATTTGTTTAAGTAAACTGGATGTAGTCGATGAGATTAAATAATTAGTTAGTTTGCTTATTCCAATAATTCATCGTGCGAACAAGAAATCATGATTTTTTATTTTTATTTATGAGTTTTAAGACAACAAAGAAGTTAAAAAAAAGTTAAAAGAAGTTAAAAAAAATACACTGGAAAAAATATTAATATAATATTAATATTAATATAAAAAAATATCAAATCTTTTCTTAAATCTTAATATCTTAAATATATTAATATCTTTTATCACTACAAATATATATTGAATAACATATTAAAATTATATTTAAAATAATATATTTAAAATTATATATATCTAAAAAATATATAGGAAAAATAAAGACATAATATATGATTCAGAAAAAATAAAATAAAGTTGGACTGAGAATATCCTCGAAATAGGCTGTTCGCATTAAGCAGGATAAAAAGGCGGAATGAAGATAAAATTTTGACAAAAAAACATTAAGATGCGATAGAAATCAATAAAATTTAAAAAAATTTTTGCCAATTTTCGATTCATTTGCCATAAAAAATTCAATTTATTATTAACAAAATATTAGCGAGAAAGAAGGTAAAAAATTAGCATAAATAAAATTAAAATTAAAATCATTTCCAATTTTTACAACAAATAAAATGAAATTTTAGAAGAATCGATAATGAGTGGAAAAATAAAAACCACTTTATGAAAAGCAGATGTAAAAAATAAAGCAGATTTAAAAAACAAAAAGAGCATATGCATTAAAAAAATAAAAATAAATAAAATATAAATAAAATAAATAAATAATATTTTTTGGAAAAAACAAAAATTAGAAAATAAAAAGTTTCGCAAAATAGAATATTAACAAATGAAATTAGAAAATAAAAAGTTTCGCAAAATAGAATATTAACAAATGAAGCAAAATTAAATACGGCTAACCTGCAAACGAACTTTCGAAGGATATCCTTGCTTCACCAAAGATTTTACGGTTTTCACCAAACAACCCCTTAAAACAGACGATCGCATATCATATCCACAAGAAACCGAAGCAATTTGACAACCATGCAAACTGGGAGACAGAGTTCTTACATTCGTTATAAGAATTTTTTAAATTTTTACAGCGTAGTAATTATTTTTCAACGAGCAATTAGTGCTTTTCCATTCGTGATGAAACCCAATAAATCGTCGCCTCAAATGGCCATCGATGAGCACTCGGAATAATTGCGAAACAGCTCGAATAGAACTGAAATAAAGTGAAGGAAATTCGTTTGATCCATTCGAAGGAAAACTTTTTTATATTTCCAGAAAGAAAAATAAATTTGCAAAAATTCAAAAACTTTTAATGTTCTTGTTTGTTGGAAATTATTTTCAATCCAAAATGTTTTAAAATATTTATAAATATTTTTGGCGATGAATAAATTTATCATTAATTCATTAAAACTAATAAAATAAGCGAGTTTTGAACTAAATAAATCGCCAACAATATTTTCTCGTTTTCAGCTTTTACTCGACTGACATAAGCAATGATCAAAATCGTACTCGTCTGGCAGGCATGCGTTCCCATTCTGAACCGCCGTCTCTACGGACTTCGACTGGAGTTAATCCCGCGAAATATAGGCGAAAGGTGGCTATAACTGCATTGTGACGCCTTACAGAATCCCCTTCAGTACGGAATGGAGGGAGAAATCAGCGATAATATTCGTAATCGCCGCTTTATTTGCGGCAGTTTATCACAACAAATATCACTGGTTGTGCGGTAGCTTTTTCCCTCACTAATAAAGCCAATGCTAATTTCAAGAAACCAACCGATCTCTCAAAAAACTCTAAAAGACGAAAAATCTGCGCAATGTCGAGCAAGGAAATCAAATCAAGGAAAACTCTTTGGCTGAGGGGTTGCGCCCCTAGTCGCTTAATAGCCACCGACCAACATCCCAGTCATTAGCAGCCAATACAGTGAGCCAAGCCAGAGCCAATGAATGCCGTCAGAAGATTCGCTCGCGGATCAAACAGACTTTTTATGAAAACAAAGTCGACAGCCACTTTTTCGTTCAATTATAGCCTTTTGCTTTTGATAAGCTCTTTCTTTTAAAGTGTTTTATCATAAGCATAAGGCAAAATAAATGTGTGTGACGAAATCGAGCGCAGAATTCAGCGGCAAATCGAAAATGCACATTTTTTGCGGAGTGTATAGGAAATCGATTGAAGAATGCGGCTTTCCAGTTGCTCTTGTGGCAGTCTTCTGAATGGCGTTCAATATCTTCCCGGGAATCGCAGAGTAGCCCCAAAGCTTGGCCAAGCAAGCTTTCTCCTTAACGTTCGTTTAACTGCACTCGATTTATCTTCTCCCCCGAATTCCTTTCCTATTTCCTTCTTTTTTGCATCCTCTCCATTTACTCATTTGTTCGTTTTCTAGCCGAATTGTCATAAATTTTCCCTCTTTTTAAAAAACGGCCTTATTTTGTTTCAGTCGATGCTTAAATCAAACGACAACTTTTATTTTCTTCATTTTACTACCAAAATTTTGTCGAACTAAAACTGCATTTTCGCCTACAACAATACGATTTTGTCGAATTAATATGTTTGCACAGCTAATGAAGTTATATCATGCCGTTAGCACATTCCGCTAGCGGTTCGTCTGGTGGTCCAGTTCATAGTGCATCTGCAGCGTCATCGAATGTTCCTGGTAGTGGTGGTGGTGGTGCATCGTCAAATCAGATATTTTCTCTTACAGGTGCTATAACGAATCCCACAATACATCAGCAGCAACATCATCATCACCATCAGTCTCATCCAACGTCAGATAGCTTGCTGTTAGCGTTACGCCAAAAGCCAACAGCAAGATTATTTCGCGCACTTTTTCAATATATACCAGTACGTGATTCGCCGAATGATAATCCTCAACTTGAGCTGCCCTTACAAGCTGGGGAATATATTCTTGTACATGGCGAAATGGATGAAGATCAGTTTTATCACGGCGAGACGTTAGATGGACAAAGTGGATTGGTACCATCAAATTATGTGGAAAGAGTTACCGATCAGCAGTTATTATCAAATTCATCTAGAGCTCCGTCACCATCATTTCCTCTTATTGTGCCTCCACATTTAACTCAAATTGCACATGATTTCTCTACACCATGCACCAGTCAGCAACCACTGCCAGATTCTGTTTGTCCTTATCCACCCGTTGATATCACGAAAGTTACTGTTCAGGAAATTCGGCAAACTGAAACTCCACGTGGTTAGCCTTTAGATTTTTTTCAATTTAAGCTAAATAATAATGAAAGAATTCTAAAAAATGAGGGAAATTTTTGTGGGAAATGAATTAATTAAAGCTCTAAAATAAATAAATATTTACGTAAATGTTGAAATGTTTAAGTAGCACTGGGTCATCCATATCGCTACGTCGTTGGAGCTCCAGTAGGGGAAATCGAGCTTGAAGTTTGGATTCTGTTGGGATTCGGCCTTTTTATGATTTTAGTAGATCCGAATTCTTCTCAAATTTTTTCTTATTTATTACATTTTTGTATCATAGATTTGCTTTTATCTAAAAAAAATCACTCGAACTTGGCAATTTTTTTGCCAACGAAGGTGTTTATTTGTGAAATTAAAAGTTTCCTTTATCCATAGGGGAAATGAATAAATCTTATTGTAAATCAAATACAATATTTTTAATTTTCCATGCAACGATAATCCTTCCCTTTGAGGTAATTCAGTCGTTTTACGATTTATTATTTAAAAGTTTTGGATCTTTTTTTGCAAACTGGTTAAAACTTTTGCTTTCTTTTAGAATATATCAAAATTTTATCGCTTTTTTTTGCGAAAGTTTTTTCATATTTGAAATGTTATTCTAACCATAGAAATCTTTAAAGACTTTTAAATGCCTTCAATACCTCTAAACTAAATATTTTCAAAAATTAGGAGGGGAAGTGGTCCAAATATGGTCAACCGTAGTGGGTTTTCCTCGACTCGAGCGTTATTAAAAGCGATTCCCGCGGTCCAGTTGCACTTTACCCTTCAGCAATCCTTTGGTGAAAGGACCTCATCTCATTAGTTAGATAACCAGGAATAATATTAAAAGATGAAGAAGGTGCTGTTAAAAAAGTGTAATCGGTGAAAAATTGTTTATTTAACTTAAATAATCGGAAAAATTCCATTCAAGGCAATTTAATTTCGAATTAGGTCAGATGATTTGAAAATTTCGAAATTCGATAGGTATGAATAATCCAATAATTTAATAGGTGTGAATTCAATAGCAAATCAAAGAATGCAGTGAAGTCGAATCGATGAAATTTTTTGAGATAAAGTCACTTATCACGTTGTCCTTATCACGTTGAGCCGAGATCCCCTATTCCTTTTTTCATCGATCGAATCCTCTCTAAGCTAACAACACCAAGATGTTTTTCGATGCGATATTCCGATAATTTGCTATGTATAAACGCCGTGATTAATTGCTATTTTGACTGATACGACATATCACCGACCCACTCATTTATTTATAAAGCTAAAAAATTGCCTACCGCATTTTTATTAAAATATTATAAAATAATATTCATCAAAATCATCGATCTTCGTGGACTTTTAGAGATTCGACAACATTTTTTTATTATATCGGGCCATTTTTATTATATCGTATTTATTGGAAAAGTGACTAGATTTTCGTAACCCCGAGTTTCCATCACACAATTTTCACATTGAGGCATTTTTGCATCAGGGATGATGTAGTTTTTCTGAAAGACTCTGTGCATAAGAATAATAATTCGAACTAACCAAAAACAAAGAGAGAGGAATCAATTAAAAATGAATCGAATAGCGAGAGAATATTGGAAATTTAATGGATTTGTAGAAAAACAACTTTATGAGAGGCTTTGAAATAAAAATGAATAGATGCGAGAAAATTTTGTGTCTCTTTTTCGAAATAAATCATCAATTCATTCTTAAATGTGCTTATGCTTCATAAAACGCTTAAAATCTGAAATTTTGTATCCTTGATAGAAAAAAGATGAAGAAAATTTCAGATGAGTCAATAATCTATCAGTAACTGCACATAAGCATGAAATCTTATCAAATATGGTAGCAAGCCTATCATTACGAGTGAAATCTGTAAAATCGATTTCGGACATTTCGGATAGCCTCTTTCTGCAGGTTATTGCACTAGTCTCTAACGAAAGGGTATTAGCCAATAGAGCCAGTCAAATTAAGAAATTAAGAATGCTGAAAAAGAAGATTTGAAGTGCTTTTCATGCAAGTCGTAGTATATATACATATATCGAGCAAATTGTATTATTTCCAATTATTCGGAAGTTGCATTTAATTGCAATTTTTTCATGTTTGATAAATAATTGGAATAAGTTGCTCAGGAATGTAGTGCTAGTTCCATCCGCGATCAGTTTCATGAAAACATTATATAAATTATTTATTATATAATTTAGGTCTTTTTAAATTTCTTCCAGTTCCACATTCCTTTTTCTCGTACCCTTTTTTCTTCTTTTTTCTTTATTTTTTATGTTATTTCTAACGTTTGAAAATATTTTAATAATAATACTAATTAGGGTAGGAAAATTAGGATTGACTCATTTATAAAAAAGAATGAAATAGATTGTATTATACAGTTTGATTGTTTTATCAATCTAAATAATAATAATTGATTATGAGAAGTTTTCGTCAGATGGAGATAGAAGAATGCTGGTGAATCTCTAGCACCACCTGGCTTCATTTTTAGGAGCAGATTCTTTTCCATCGAGATACAAGAAGTGACCACTTGAGTGGATCTCAACGATGTAATTATCTGGAATTACAAAAAATTTCCACTAAATGAAACGAGAGGATACCTGGAATAAATATGAACTTCCAACGAGGAATCCAATCTTTTGGCTTCCCTATGCCGCATTAAATGAAGAGAAATTTCTTAGGTAATGCAAAAAATATATTAAATACAGAGTTAATTGCAAAAAAATTGCAAAAAACATTTGATTTTTATATTTTTTATTTTATATTTTTTGTCATAAAATTAAAAGAGGAAAAAATTAAGTTTAAAATGAAAATAAAAATGAAGTCAAAAATTTACGAACATTGTAAAACTTTTATAATAGTTAAACTAATGGAAATTCAATGAAAATAGTTATAATTCTCAATGAGTTTTCAAGGTTTTCAAGGTACTCATCAGACATTTTTGTTCTTCGTATCCTTCACCCTGGAAGATGGTTACTCACCCAGCTGAGCCAACAACTAATGCTGCAACAGAGGCATGAAGTGATGAATATCTAGGAAAGTAGGTCTTATAAAAAGTCCAGTAAAACGACATGATCAAATTTTTTTTGTTTGAATGTCTGATCTCTATGCATTCCATTTGAATACTCTCAAATAACGCATTTATGTCGACCGAAAATGGAGCAGCAATTGTACAAAAATGTTAACGATATTTTCCGAAATCTTGAAAAATTCGTTCTCAAATTTCCAAACGAAAACGATGAGCAAGCATGTATATTTTTGGCTTTCACTATGCTTAGTCAGCCTATCGAAATTTGCAATAATATAAGCCTTTCATAATTTATTTCGAAAGATATTGCGGTTTAACATAGCGTTAACAAGTTGATTTTCATCTTGAAGATATTAAGTGGATTAAAGAGTGTTAATTGAATGATCCAAGCCCACGAAAAATGCATTTATGTCGACTGAAAATGGAGCTAAATCTTGTGAACCATTTTTTATTTTCAACTTTGTGCACAAACATACCTTTTAATTCAGTAAATGAACTAATTTTATCGCAAATCATAATCATTTTAGTATTTTATTTTATTTAGCTGCCTTACTCAGAAAAATAAATAATATCTTCATTATCCACACTTTTGAGTAACTCCAGGAATTCCTTTGTGAACTCGCATGCAAACCACGGATCAACATGTTCGAAAATAATTCTCATCAAACTAACTTCTTGACCAGTTGATAGGCTGATTAACTTGAAAACTTTAGATTAAGAACAACAAAATATTCTAAGAAATTCATATGCTAATATAGTCGTTTTTTATCATAGAATAGCTTGTTATCATCATATTTGCAGTCCAGAAGTTTTACCAATTTCTCCTAGAATGGTGAAGAGCAGGAATGTTAATTTTAATTCTTCAAAATAAATCACCAACAGTTAAAAAGAATTGTTGGGAGGATCAATATTTTTTGGAAAAATCCGCTGTAAGACAAATGCATAAGAAATGTTAATTTTTTTTTATTTGATAGCATTTTTTCGCCTTGGTTCAGAGAAATGTTAAATTTTAAATTTTCTTGACATTGATGGATCATATCTTATTGCTTTATTGAAGTTGAATTTTGCTTCATCTTATTCTTATCTTATTTCAAGTGAACTGCTTAGCTGTATCTTCTAATCTTGGCTGATGATGGCAGTTAATTGAGCGTTGAACAAAAAACTCTTCCAATCTATTTAAAAGGCCAAATAGTACCATTTCGCCATTTATCCATGAATCATCGTCTTAATGTTAATATTAATGTTAAACTAAGAATGGTTATATTGTTTGATGGTTGAGATGTAAAAAATAGAATTTCACTTTCAAAGGAAGTTTTAATCAAAAGAATTTTTTACCAGTTCATTCATAGAAGAGTTAGAAAAGGCTTATATTGATGCGAAATTTTGCGTTAACGCTCGGCTGAATCATTTTAAAGCCTTAATTTGCATCATTGGTTTTGTAAAAAAAATGCCCTACAGATTTTCAATGTCTTTTTTCGGAAAAAGAATTATAAATGCATATATGTGATGCAAAAAATGTTCTTTTTTATTTTTATTCACTCAGGCATAACCGATTTGATCGAACAAATGGCTTATGAATTACTTCGGGCCTAAAGAAAGAATTCGTGGGCGTTTTGCATAAATCAATCGCTTAAATGGCTTAAAAAAACATAAAACAAAATAATCGGTGAGGTAATAACTTAGATACGCCGATTTAAGACAACTTATTGAAATCAGTTATTTTAATGCAAGTTTTTTCATAGTGTTTAGGGTAGTAATGAAACGATCATGCATCATATCTTCGTTGCTTATTTATTATATACTAATATACCATTAGTGAGGATAGTGAGGATGAGAGGGTATGTCGCTCCGATAAAGTCCGTCCGTCAGACTCGATCCCTGTCCCATGTGTTAACTTTTCATTAACTTTGGAATGGTCTTAATGCGGTTCTATTTTCAAGTTCTGGCAAAATAGTCCCGTCCTAATAATCAGTGGAAGCAGCCAAAC